TTGTGGTGTCATGCCTTTTGTCTGTTGGCACATCTTAAATGTAGCATGTAACATGCATTTTATACATCAAATCAGTTTGTCTTATTTTTCTAAAACACACATATATTACACTGTCTCATTTGGTTTCACTCTGACCTTTAAATCAGAGGTTTGTAGGTTTAAAGTTCGGTGTTGGAGAATTTTGGGATCATGGTCTAAGCTGTGGTGGGCAATTGTTGCATTATTGGAAATGACGTTCTTCAGATGAGATGTTAAACTGAGGTCCCTTCTGGCCATTCAAGTGAATGTTAAAGATCTCATACTACTATTCGAAAAGAGAAGGGAGTTTCCCCTCAATCTTTTGGGACTTGGCTTGTGCACAAATTGGCTGCTGCGTTCACATATAAAATATACAGCTGCTACACCTTGCAGTAAATCCAGTATCCATTGAAACATCCACCTGATGTGCAAGGCACTATATCAAATGCAAGGATTATTATTTATTATATTGCATAGCAGATTTACTGAAGTGAGAAAATTGGTAGCAGGTCAAATGTTTTCAAGGGGGAAGATGTTTTTGCTGCGCAGCTAAACACGCCTCCAACTTAAAACTGCACAAATTCTGAAAGTTTGTTGTGAAGTGTTTTACAATTCTGCAGACTCAGAACCTCATGACCGTTTATTTAATGTTCTGATTATCTCCATGATGATTGAGTGTGGTGCAGGAGTTGCGTGTGGAAGTGTTTCAGGAAGTGTCAAAAATGCACTTTGTCAAGTTTCTGTGGTTAATTTTGTGGCAGAGCCGCAGTTTCTGTTACAAGTTCCAACTTTTTTTGTGTGCACCACTATTACTTTGTCAGTCTTTTGGGATTTCTTCCATCGGTGCAACAAATGCCAAGTTGTAGTTCAGTGTTGTTATCACCCAATAATTCAGAACTCTGCAGATTGTGACCTTTTCCACAACAGACTCCGTGGCCCTATAACCCCCACTCTCGCCGGGCTCCACTGGCTCCCAATCTCCCAGAGAATAGAGATCAAAATCCTCTTACTCGCCTCCAAAGCCCTCCATGGCCTTGCTCATTCGTACCTCTGTCACCTGATAATGCCATATCAACCTGTCCACTCCCTCTGCTCAGCTCCTGCCTGCTCCACATTTCCCGCCTAATCTGTCCCACCATCAGTAGTCAGGCCTTCAGCCTCTCTCCCCCCACCCTCTGGAACAATCTTACAGTCCCTTCATCTTGCTCCTCCCCTTGCCTCCTTCAAGGCACATCTCAAGACACTCCTCTTTGCCTGTGGCTTTGGTCACCTTCCTAACCCCACGCTCTCTGCCCTCTATGCTGATAAAACTTTCTGATGCGGTTACAACAACAAGATTGCATTTACAGAATGCCTTTCACGTCGGGAGGACGTCCCAAGGCGCTGGACAGTTGGGTCAGGACCCGAGCAGCGGGGAAATGGTGAGGGGAGGGAAGGGAGGGAGCGAGGAAGGGGTAGAGAGTCGAGAGGGGAGCTGAAGGCACGGTTGAAGAGAAAGGTCTTGAGACCGGCCTTGAAGGAGGAAAGGGAGGAAGTAAGGTTGAAGGCACTGGGGGATAGAGTTCCAGAGCCGAGGGATTGAGAGGCTGAAAGCCCGGCTACTGATGTTAGGGCGGGGGGTGTGGAGCAGACCGGAGCCGGAGGAACGGAGGGTAAGGGCAGGTAAGTAGGGGGATAGTAGGTCGGAGAGGTAGGAGGGAGCAAGGCCGTGAATGGCCTTGTAGTTGAGGATGAGGATCTTGAATTCAATCCTCTGGGGGATGGGGAGCCAGTGGAGGCGAGTGAGGGTGGGAGTGATGTGGTCGCGAAGCCTGATGCGGAGCTGCAGTACACGAGCTGCAGAGTTCTGCAATGAAATAAGATCAGTCAGTCCACAAAAAGAGAGATCCTTTGGACGGATTTTTCTTCAAATATATTACCTTTTTTGTATGACCAAGTGAATGGATGCAAGATGCTGTATCAATCCTTACAGAGCTGGAATTATTTTTTGGATAAGTTGCCACGCCAGAAATAATATTTTCTTTGGAACATCAATTTGAATCTCCTGCTGGATTTCTCCTGGCTTATGTGCCCCTGTTTTTTTTATTTACTCTTGAAATTATATTGCAGAAGTGTAAAATGCCAAGCATGATGCTAGTTCCTCTGAGGCTGTATTCGATTTGTTCATGTTCTTACAGAAATATTGTTCATATTTGTGTAGTAAAGCGGCACTAGTCTGACAGATTTATAGATTGACTCAATGTCGTAAAAAGCAATGAGTGACTCTCATTGAGTGCTCTGGAACCTCTAATTGTAAGTTGTTTAGAAGATTTATTTTGTGTTAAAACAAAAAGAATTCTGCAGCATTGTTGTTGCTTGATGTGTGTAGTCACCTTCATTAATCCTGTATTTTTAAAACATGATCTATATTATCAAGTGCACCCTTAAGCATCAGAAACTTTATCGCCCTTCTTGCTTCTGCAGAATAAAATCGTGCCATAAATATAGATTTTTTTTGTTGCAAAATCACTTGATAGAGTGGAGGAAATGATCTGTTCAGATTTTCTTTTGTGTTGGTCTTAACCTCGTCTGTGTATTTTTCAGCCATTCATTCTTTGGGGAATGAGTTAAGGTTTACAAGCTGCAGATCATCCAAAACTCTGCAGCTCATGTACTCTCGTGCACCAGGCTCCGTGACCCCATCACTCCCATCCTCACTCGACTCCACTGGCTCCCCATCCCTCAGAGGATCGAGTTCAAGATCCTTGCCCTCACTTTCAAGGCCATCCATGGCCTTGCCCCCTCCTACCTCTCTGACCTGCTGACTCCCTACCAACCTGCTCGCTCCCTCTGTTCAGCGGGCTCCGGTCTACTCCATGTCTCTGCCCAACCCATCCAAGGCCGGGCTTGCAGCTTCTCTGCCCCTACACTCTGGAATTCCATCCCACAGTCCCTTTGCCTCGCTTCCTCCCTTGCCTCCTTCAAGGCCGGTCTACAGACCCTCCTCTTCGATCGTTCCTTCGGTCGCCCTCCCACCTCTCTGCCTTCCCTCACCCCTACCCCACCCCTCCCCCATGCTCGGGTCCTGACTCCCCGACTGTTCAGCGCTTTGAGACGTCCTCCCAACCACGTGGAAGGCGCTCTATAAATGTCATTTTGCTGTTGTTTATGTGACACGGTGCGATGTAAACGGAACTCATAACCACTTCTTCACATCACAAGGCTCAATTTTGATACAGTCACAGTGATGTTACATTCCAGCAGTCATCGAGTGCACAAATACTATGATCTCCTAAGCTGGTAAACACTAAACAAACCATTAACAGTGTTGGGTCATCCCATCTAATCCCATCCCAGCACTGTGGCCAATCAGTAGTATCTCCAGATTGGTTGCAAGAATGCTGGTGGTGATTGATTGCTTTGGTCTGCTGGTTGTATGAATCCTGCTGTACTTAAATAATAATAATAATCCTTGCATTTGATATAGCGCTTTTCACGTCGGGAGGACGTCCCTGTACCTGACTAACACACATGTATTCATTCCTAAAGTGAGCTAAAGCTGCTTCGTCTTGGAATCTGAACTGCATACAGCGTGTCGTGCTCCACCGCAACCACAGCAAGAGACACCAAGAAATGAAGCGAGCAAACTCCATTCGTTCAGTGTGGGGGCGTGCACTCTCCTGCACTGCCCTGCACTGGGGAGCCCTTTACACACCAAGCGAAACAATCCATTACCATACAACACAGCCAAGTAATGCAATTTATCACCATGTTGCAGACACAAATGCTGCTGTTCATGATCATGCTGCACCGTGACAGGAAAACGAATTAATCCCATGAGTTATTTTCTTTCATTATCAATTTTTTTTCATAATAGACTCAAGAACATGTCTCTGCAATTGAATTATAAAGGATGACAAATGTAAATTCATAACTGGCAGCTCCCACCGCTATGTATGTTTATACATCAATTTACGGTATCAATTAACTAATTATCCTACCGCAGCTGCCGAGATGCAACGGCAGCATTTTACTTGTCATGAGAACTTATACATTGCATTCTATTACAACACAATACAGATGCTAATGGTTCTTGCAGTTTCCCTATTGTGTCATTTGAACTGCTTTAACATTGAAGTTAAATTACTCAGTGTGTGTTGTCCATATTCAATGAATGTTACAATGTTTTATATATGTTTATATTCAAATATATATAGGAATATGTGTGTGTCAGACACCCCGCCAAACAAAACACAAATCTCGCACAGTAATATGACATTTCAGGATTCCGAAGCTCCTGATTTCTAGGCAATGATCAATAATTTTTTCGGGTATAAAGACTCTCGCCTTAATTTGACCCTCTTCGTCTTGGCATTTACCTCTAAACAAATGAAGGCGGTGTTTGATAAACTATTTATATGCTTCACCAAACGCTTGATCAAGGCAGGCGATGTGACAACCAAGACACCGGGTTCATAGCACGCCGGTCACACACCGAGAAGTGCCGGGCTTGCGGGGGTGAAGATGGTGAGAGAAACCGAGTAAATGAATGGTATAGTTCCTAAAGACAGAACCATAGAAATCTACAGCACATAGAGGACCAGCCCGGCCTGCACCGGCTTTCTGATTGAGCTCTCCATTTAGTCCTATTCTCCTGCTTTAGGCATATTCACAGCCCTTTTGAAAAATATTTTAATTCCCCTTCTTCCCCCCCACACACACACCCTCCACACACACACACCCTCCACACACACACACACCCTCCACACACACACCACACACCCTCCACACACACACACACCACCACACACCCTCCACACACACACACACCCTCCACACACACACACACACAATCATTACACACACACACACACACTGTGTTGGCTGGGGCTGTAAACAAGTCCTGTGCAGATCAGAGAGTTGTGGTCGTCGTTGATTGATCGAGACTGCGGGGGTGAATGTTGTGTAAGAGGAGGAAGCAGCTCAGCAGCTGCTGCACTGCGGCTCATGGCAGTGAGTGCACAGCTGATGGTGGGGCTCCAGGCAGTGTGTAAGTCAGGCCCTGTGTGTGTCGGGGTGTAACTCCAGGGCCTCCTCTGGACTGGGCACCTCGGACTTGTTTACTGGCGGCGCCCAAAACTGCGGAGTTAAAAGCCAGTCACAGGACTGGATGCCGAGGCTCTTCCAGGGCCGTGAATCACCGGGGGAGGGAATGGGGAAAAGTGACCCAGAGATGAGCAACTGGTAACGCGGCCAAGTCTCCAGGTGACAGCAGACAGACAGACAGACAGAGACACACAGCAGCTGCACTGCACCAGTGCTCTGATTATACACAGTGCAGTGCAGCTCTGCGGCTGATCGATTGATTGATCGATTGATTGATCGATTGATTGATCGATTGATTGATCGATTGATTGATTGATTGATTGATTGATTGATTGATTGGGGAGATAAGTGCAGCGCTGTGATTGTAAGAACAGCAGCAGCTCGCGCGCATTTTTTTTATTGTGATTGTAAGAACCATGTGTGGCGCCTGGGTTTATTTTGTGAAATAATACTAATAATAATACTAATAATCCTTGGATTTGATGTAGCGCTTTTCACGTCTTCCAGACGTCCTCAAAGCGCTTCACAGAATTATACTGTAAAGTGAATTGACTGCATTACTTGGGGGCAAAACGCGGCAGCAGCCGTCCCACAAACAGTCGTGGATTGAATTGACCAATTTATTATTTTTTCTTTTAAAGTACAATGACACGTTGGAGAATGGGTGTGAAGTATGAGTTTGGGTGTCCAGTGTTAGTGGATACATTGGACTGCTACTGGATACATTAAATTGTTGCTAGATACAGTAAACTATTAGTGGATACATTGGAATGGTGCTGGTTACTAAAGTTTAGATTGTTAAAGTTCCTGGTATATGTTACATAGTTGCTGCTACTGAATACATTGTATTGTCACAGGGATACACTTTAGATATTCCCATATGGGCAGTATTACTGAGATAAATTAAATGTATTGCTGTTTACTGGTACATTGTACATGTTACTTTAGATATGCCACTGAAATGCATTGGGCATTTTACCAGGACAAATTAGATATTATAGTTGTCACTGCAACAGATTAAATATGCTAGAAAAACAGAAGTCGCTGGGAACATTCAGCAGGTCAGGCAGCATCTATGGAGAAAGGAAAGTTAGTCAAAGTTTCGGCTCCTGGACCTGAAACGTTAACTCACTTTCCTTTCTCCATTGATGCTGCCTAACCTACTGAGTGTTTCCTGCGACTTCTGTTTTTGTTTCAGATTTCCAGCATCTGTAGTATTTTGTATTTTGTTTATATTAAATATGCTGTTGTACTGCCATGATATGAATTTAGCCTTGCCTTGCTGTCCTCTTTCTGCAATCTGCACGCTTCCAAAACTTTCGTATCCCATGTATACTGTACTTGTATTCTGTATTGAAAATAAGTAGTTCTAAACAGTATTATCTGTTGCTTGTTAAATCAGTGCTGTGTGAGTATGCATTAGGTTGCAAGCAATTTGTGTCTTCTCTATTTATATCCAACTGCAAGTTTCCTTTGTTCTCAACAAGCACAGGGATGGAATTCACCAGATTACAGAGTTCTGGATTACTATGTCATGGAAACTTCATCACCCGATAAAGAGATCTCTGCTTTTCAAAGCCAAGTGCCTACACATTGCAAACTGAGTTTGTTTCAATCAAGAAAACTTTTGTTCTAATTTAGTGTTGAAATGAACACAGCTGAAACTTCTATGTCGTAATGAGTAATTACTAAGTAATTTGCTGATAGAAGCTTGTTACTGCATGGACTAATTGTCACATATTGTTGCCAATAAACTTTGAAAGGGGCTGTGGATTTTTCCCCCTCCCAACAGTGGAACCTTTTTTGTAATATAAGCATACGTTGTCTTAGATTTTTGTGTTTAGGAAACAAAGTTACTGGCAATATGAACAGTATTAAAGTATTCTATGGTGCTTTGTACCCTATTACTTCTGAAATTATTTAGTCTTCATTGTTTTCAAACAACTGTCTGATTCTTTCTCTCTTCCTTTCACACTGCAGATTGGAGAGCCTTGGAGAGCTCCACAAAAACGTTACTTCTGCAATGATGATGGAAGCTGAAGACTGTTTGCACACCGACTCCCACTCTCAAATGGAGGACGAAGAACCATTGATTTCCAAGCCGGCAGGGATAAGTTATTTTCACCCTGCACCTCAGGACAAGTACAACCTTGTGTACATCATTTTCTTTTTCCTTGGGATTGGATCATTGTTACCCTGGAACTTTTTCTGCACTGCCAAGCACTATTGGTTGTACAAGCTGAACAATGGAACACAACAATCTGGCCATGGGAGTGATCTCAGTGTGAGTATTATGTTTTTGCATGTTGTATTGTGTTGATAGCAGTAGTAAAAAGAAGCATCTAATTCCCAACAAATTACTAATTATAACATAGAATTGCTTCCTGGGCAGTTTTCCATTCTTGCCTCTGAGCCCCATATTTTGTGGGGTGAGGATGGTTTATGGTTCATCTTGAGAGCAAATGCTGATGTGCAATTGTTTTAAAGTTGGTTCAAGAATTTTGCCAGTTTGTCCTAATGACTCGAGAAGTTTGGTACAAATTAATAGCTGCTAGGAAAGAAACCTTCACCAACCAGAGTTGTGGAACCCTGGAAAATGGGTGCTTAAAATCATAGATTCATACAGAACAGAAGAAGCCCATTCGGCTCATCGTACCTGTGCCAACTCTTTGAAAGAGCTATCCATCTAGTCCCATTTTCCCCCGCTCTTACCCTATAGCCCTGCAAATTGTTCCTTTTTAAGTACCTATCCAATTTCATTTTGAAAGCTTCTGGCTGGCGCTGCACTGACACTGGAAGAATTGCTTCCTGAATTGTTGTATCTGTTGGTAGTTTGTAGCTGGATATTCAGATAGTTCACAGTGAATGTTAGTAGTTTTTGGTTTCTGAAGGTAACTTGGGAGGAGCAATCTGGAGGAACTCCACATTCAAAGTACTGCTGGAAATTTCAACAATATTTGTAATCTATACGTTGTGTTTAACAGTCATGTTCAGGTGCTGCAGTGGTACTGAAAAGGCACAGGAGAATTGGTGTACAGGTGTCTGTGAGGAGGAAAGTTTCTTTGTGCTATGAGTGAGGTGACCCAGACCTTTGAAAGTGGCCTGTTTTCCACACTAGTAACAATATCACCAGAGCAGCAGAATAGGCTCTTTCAATTAAAGCTTTTTTTTTTTTGCCATCTTCATAAAAACATGGAAGAAAATTGTCTCATTTTTTATTTCTATCAATAGGAAACTGCTTCAGAGAAAACGTAGTTCTCTTCTCACAAGCAATTTTTAAGAAGATTTTAATTTAATTTAATTTTTAAATTAAATTAAGAAATGTCTTAATGCAATATCACCAAATCACCTTGAGAATAGTATGTCAGATGGGTTGGGCGACTCATCAGGGTTGTGTGTTTAATGTCAAACTTTGTATGCAATCTTGCACAGAATTTATTCGTGTTGCTAATTGTGCTGACTCTGGGTGGTTGCTGTCCAATTCCAGTTTATGAAACCCCAGATTTTCTTTAGATATCATGTGAGTCTGCTGATACAGTTCTATTCCACTGTAGCCTCTGTGTAAATGTAAACAGTTTTTGTCTTTCATTTCTTCGTCCTTTATATATTTTTTTAAAAGAGGCCTGTGGTAAGAGGAGAAATCTTAGCAAAAAATCATGGATCAACTGTATGATTGTCTTACGAATGTTGTGTACAGAACCTCACTAATCCAGTCACTCAAGTGACTGGGCAAAAGTGACCTACTAAGTGAGGTGACTTGATTACTGAAACAGGTCGGGTGATCCAGGTCACTGATGTAATGTGAAGGGTATTGGTAATGGGCGAGAGTGATGAACATTCAACAACCATACTTTGCGATCTCATTAAAATAAAGGCATGGTTGCATTTAAAACAAATGCACCTCTCCCCGCACCACACTTGCGCGACTGGAGCCCACACCGTCCACAGTAACAGCATTGAGGAAATAGTGCAAGAAGCCCGAGGCCTAGCCCACTGTGTACTGTACAGGTTAGTAGCGGAGGGGGGTGTTTGTACCATGTTTGTACCGGAGGAGGACGCTGTCGCGGCCACAATCAATGACCGTTGTTCTGAATAGCAAGGTGTCTGGTTTACCGAAGCAGACAGACAGCCTATCCTTTAGTATAGACCATGAAAGAGACTGTGAAAATGTGCCCGCAATTGTGAGGTGGCTGGATTACTGAGGTGACCGCAAACCGGGTTTCTACTGTACAATGCAATATCCAGGACAACCATGGGTGAGCATGGGTTCACATAGAGCGCAGATTTATTCATTGATGACCCACACTAAAAAATGGCAAGTTTCTAGGCTGTTTTGCAATCACTGTGCACAGAAAGTATTATTGACAGCCCTTTGAAAAGGAAGGGACATCAATGGTGCTGCTGGCACCTGTGCCCAATAAACTGGAGTAACTTCAGGAGTGATCTGATAACCTGTAAATTGGCTTTTTTTTTATGCTTATAACATGGAACCTGCGACATCGGACGCAGACTTCTACAGTTTTCGTTAATAATACAGTGCTTGTGGGCATTGAGTGAAGTTGCCACTTCCGTTCTTCCCCCTCTTCCCCCCCATAAAAGAATAAAACCCAGTCCCTAAAGTTGCCCACAAACACTTGTTGGTAAAGCCTCTGGCAATGTTGGCCTCCAATGGGATTTCCCATTAGAAATGCAATCTACCAAATAACTGTCCTCAATGCTCACCACAACTGCCTTTGAGTGATTTGAAGATCGTTGTCTAATCTCTTGGCTCATATAATATTTGTAAGGATGTTTGAAGGTTTCATTTGACATTACATAGACTCCAATTGGTATTGAGGCTTATCAGTAACAGGTTCCAGTAAACAATGACATTGGTAAATTAGATATTTTTTCTGAAAATTTATTTTGTGGTGCAGGAAGCGGTGGAACCTTTTCTTGTGTGAAAGGTAATGCTTATGGATGGTTCCTAAAGCCTCACAAAGTAGTATAATTTGACATGAGCAATGACTGAATTCACCAGAAGGGTCTGCACTCTGTTCTTTCCTAACATTTCTTGTTTCCAGATTTGCACTGAGCAGGTTCATGTATTTTAATCGCCCCTTTCTGGTCCATTTACAGATTCATGCTATGCAAAATAAATCATTTAAAGTTTATTCATGAAAACCACCAGTCAATGTGTATGAACATGAATCAGTGGCTATGAATTCAGTCTCCTTGCTTTAGGGGGAAATGCCTGCTTTGGGATTAGCATTCTTTGCAAATGCGTGTAGTTAAGATCGTAAGTTTGCCATGTGGGCAACTGGGGGCGCATGTATCCTACCATACACGTCATTTGAAGGTCTTGTGCAATGCATCATGTGCTGCTCACATGATCCCAATTTCCATATTTCCTTGATAGAATGCATGAGATCAGGAACTGAGTGAATTGCATGCACTGCTATTCTTGACACATTTTTAGTGAACTATGTATATTCTTGCACTGGGTTTCCCCTGCATGTCTACTGTAGTTCCTGCTTTTTACGTGAAGTATGAGCAAACTAAAATATTGAACAACGTTTTGGTAGTGGTGGGTGATGTAACTTGTGCGGAAAATCTTCATATAAGCTCAATCCTTGGCTCTCGCCAACCTGCACCTAATATTCTTCAGACTTAGCTAAGCAGGATGTGTCTCTCCAGGCAGAATGTACATTCAATTCCAGGGAAACCTGTGTGTTAGTGGCAAACACATGTGGAACTCTGGTTATACTCTTAAGCATGGTTCCGCACTGGACAGACCTCTGGCTGACCAACACCTCTCTCTTTCTCCCTTCCCCCCCATCCTCATTCATGGATGATCAATTCATTCTTTTAATTGACTCCCCACCCACCCCTCCCTCTCCCTGGTGTTGTGATCCACAAGTTGATTATGAAGTATTTTATTAGTGTAACTTAAACTCCAAGATGTTTTTGAAGAATAATTAATTTTATCTAGTGTCTTGATAGGATCTCTGTAGCCTTTATACTAAGAAATGCACCATAATGAAGGATTGCTTTATGATGCTGTCTGTAGACATACACTCACAGATTTGTAACACCTTTTACTTTCTCTGTTTATAGTGGTTCCTGAGCTCAAAGAGGACTGTTTTGATTGTATTACACTGCTGTCAGTAGAATGCTTTAGACAGAACAGAAACTATCTCATTGAAGTGCAGAAGGGCTTTTCTTGGCTGAGCAATGACATTGCAAGGCATATATTGATTTTAAAAATGTTTACAGTTAGTGTCCTGACACATTGTAGATTGTGCATGTAAGTATTATCTTGCATTATCAATATGCATTATATTGATAGTGTTGGACATGTTAGCTGTAAAACATCAAAGCAGCTTGCATTAATGTTTCCTATGTCTACCTGGATAGTGATTTTCAGGAACTTCAGGAACATCTGCAACTTTCCTTCATGTAATAAATTCAAGCAGAACTTGGAAATATTGTGATAAGAGGTTGTGACAAGAACCAAAAGAATTAGCAAAGGTCCTGTTACATGAATTCCTTGGAGGTTATTGCTTCTGTTTGATATTGTTCAAAAATATGGAATTTTTTTATTATTTTTCTTTTTTGTATTAAGCATGTTTAAAATTGAAATGGCATAGATAAAAGCAGTGTTCAAAAGTTTTTTTTTAAAAAAGTTCCTGAAAGTCACTTTTTACTTGCTCCACAAGTAAAAAGTCATGTGTATGGGAAAACTCTGGTTTCTAAGCCATAATGAGTTGGAACCTTGCCTGATTTCTCCTCTCCCGCCTCCCCCAACTTTTCTCCCACTTTTCCCCCAGCTTGGGAGTTGTGCCACCCTTTCCTATCCTGGTGGAGATCAGCAAACTCAAAACAGGGATTGACTGTGGTACATTCTTGATCTATGTGATTAGTGACATTATGACAGTCTATTTACTGTAGGAAGGAAATGCTTGGATTGACAATGAGGCCATCAATGACAGTCATTGCTATAGTTTGATTGATCATTATCATGTGACATCAAGGAGAAATTAATCAACTTTCTATCTTTCATTGCCTTAATTAGATATTTCCTGTCCTTTCCCCAGCCCAGCTCTTGGTATCATGTCCTAATGAGAAGGGGAAAAAACAGGCACATTCGGATTAAATAGTACACTGAGGGAGAGTAGCACTCTTTACTTATGCAGGAGCAGGATAGCTCCTATATAAGTAAACACTACTGCCTTCCCTCCTCTGATGTATGACTTGCTTTTTCTGGAGTAAGGTTCCACAGTTCACCTCCAGTATTTACTCATGAGACAGAGGTTGTCCGACATGTCTTGCAGTATTGACAGTTCACCCCAGCTCGGGTAACCAATGGCCTAATTGGAGTACAAGCTATGTCACAGAGGAGAAAAATTACAACATCTACTACCTCTGATGTGGGAGTTGATTGCTCTCACTGCAGTTCGTTTAAGCTGAATTGCGTTCCTGTTGTTTTTCGTTCCCAATATATTTTCGCCTCATCCATGATAGTTCAGAGTCATGTCAGCATATGGGCACTGGACATCCTCTGGTACCTTGCCACTGTGCTGTTGTAATTTGAGGCTAAAAGCATAAAACACATAACACAGTGTTATCACTTTTATTAGGCCTCACATAACTGCGCAAAAACATCTGTATCCTTCGCAATGAATCTCATAAGAACAAAAGTGCTCTATTTCTACAACCATGATTGCATATTTCTGTTTTAAAATAATAACACATAATAGACATCAGTATCTCTTGTAAACCATGCCACTTATTGTCTCTCTTTATTTTCCAGATTAATTTTGAAAGTTATCTTTCAATTGCGTCAACTGCACCCTCAGTATTGTGCCTCATGCTGAACTTCATTCTGGTGAACAGGTATGTCTTTCTAACCGTACTAGAACTCTTTGCTGTAACCCGAAAATGCTGTTGTCAATTGTTTCAGGCAGATGGCTCCATAAATCTTCATAGCTGTGAGATACACCTTGCAGCAAAATGATAGCTGTGCATGTTTCCTCATTGGGCAGATACCTTGTAGGGAGGAGAAATTAGGTCTTGCATATTGGGAGGGGTGGGGTATCATCCAATATCCATAATCCTGGAGCAGAAACTGGCTGATGTTTTTCCTTGCATTTGATATAGCACCTTATTACATGTTCGAGACGCCTCAAAGCACTTCACAGAATATACTGTAAAGTGAATTGACTGTATATGTTGTGGCCAAAAAGCCCATCATTGTTGTTTTCCATGAGTGCAACAATACATTCCAAAACTAGTATGTGGTGAATATTTAATACAAAGCTAGAAATCATCACTGAGTTTCAAGAATGATTTGAATTTTGTTTTAGTCCCATCCTGAGGGCTTTTACTTGCACATGTCAGCCATACAGTATCCTAACAAATGCATTGAGTTCACTTATGCTTGTCTTTCCTGGCTTTTGCAACAGAACTATTATTTTTTGCAAAGATTGAACCAGGGAATAAGAAGACAGGCTTTTTTTTATGACTTTATTTTTGTGCGCTTGTGCTACTCGTAATATAGATATAAGCCTGTCCCAGTTGGCAGCTTGCTCACCTCTGCTTGCTCACGGCTTCTCCTCCCACTCTCACCTGGTTACCTGCGGGGTACCCCAAGGATCCATCCTTGACCCCCTCCTCTTTCTGATCTACATGCTCCCTCTCGGGGATGTCATCCGCAGACATGGGGTACATTTCCACAAGTATGCGGATGACACCCAACTCTACTTATCCACCTCTCTTTGCGATCCCCAGTCCCCTGATGTTCTGTTAGCCTGCCTGTCAGATCTCAGGGGCTAGGTGAGCGCAAATTTCCTTTATCCGAACATTGACAAGATGGAAGCCATACTCTTAGGCTCTCGTCAACGTCTAAAATCTCATAGCTCTCACCTCCTCCACCTACCTGACTTCCCCCTAAAACTCTCTGAATCCGTACGCAACCTAGGCATCAGGTTCAACCCCCAATTATTCTTCCTCCCCCACATCTGGGCCCTCACCAGCACTGCCTTCTTCCACCTCCGACGCATCGCCCGTCTCCTCTACAAAAGCCGCTGAAACCCTAGTCCATGCCTGTGTTACTTCTCGGCTGGACTATTCTAACGCCCTCCTCGCCAGTCTCCCATCCGCTGCCATCCTTAAAATCCAGATCATTCAAAACTCTGCCTCCCACATTCTCACCCGCACCAAACTCTGCTTCCTGATCACCCCAGTCCTTGCCAGACTGCACTGGCTGCCTGTCCCAGAGAGTAACGACTTCAAGATCCTCACCCTTGTATTCAAATCCCTCCACTCCTCTGCACCCCCCCTACCTCTCTCCTCAAAACAGTATACCCATTGCCTTCATTCCTCTGGGTCTGGCCTCCTCAATCGTAGAATCGTACAGCACAAAAAGAGGCCATTCGGCCCATCGAGTTTGTGCCGGCTCTTTGAATAGAGCAATTAATGTTAATCCCACTCCCCAGCCCTTTCCCCATAACCCTGCAAACCCGTCCTCCTCAAATACCCATCCACCGCGTTTTTAAAAGCAGTTATCGGATCGGCCTCGACCACCCTTGTCCCCTGAGTCCTCTGCTCCATCCTCGGCAGCCGTGCCTTCAGCCATTATGCCCCGAGGATCTGGAATTCTCTTCCTCACTCCCTTTGCCTCGCTCCCTCTCTTCCTATTTTTAGGTCCCTGCTGAAGACCTTTCTCTTCAACCGCGCCTTTGGTCACCTTCTTCCCACTCCCCTAGCTCGGCCTCGGGATCCGTTACTGTGAAGCGCTCTGAGACGCCATCCAGCGTGGAGGGCGCTATATAAATCCAAGTTGTTGTTGTTGAGTCGAAAGGTTGTGGGTTCAAGTCTCATATCAGGTCTTTGAACTCACCTAGTCCAGGCTGATACTCCAATGGTGCAATTTTTTGAGGTGCTGTCTTTCAAATGAGACGTAAACCTAATCTGACCAAGTGGACATTAAAGATCCTGTGGCATTTTTTTGTTTGAAAATGCAGGGAGTTTCTCCTGATGTCCTAGCCGATAATCTCCCAAATAAAATTGGTCATTCACTTCCTGGATGTTTATGGGACTTTGCCGTGTGCAAATTTGCTGCTATATTCAACAAAAAAACTAAAGCCTAAAGGTGCATATTTGTGACATTACAGTAACTCCAGGTTTGATGTAATTAACTGTTCTACTCTATGGTCTGCTGTTGGTCTACATCTGAAATGTCTTGGCTATTTTCAGCTGTGTTTTATTCTTGTGTGGATTGGTACTGGAATACATCTTAAATTGGCTTATTTCTGGGTAATCTCTTAAATGATTAATTATGGTGGATTTAATTTTATTACATAAAAAAGCACCACAAAATATTTTACATGTTTTACAAGTAAATGCTGTCAGGTGTGATAACTATATTTTGTAGGAAAACATGGCCACTATACGTATCAGCAAAGTTAACAAAGCGCCCCACTTCTCAGCTTTGCTTACCTCAGAGGTTTCACTCCTGACTCTGTTGATTATTGCTGCATTCACAGAGGGACCAATATTCTTTCCTGACTACATCTGCATGTTGTACATTTTGACAATATGTTCCTGAAATGCATCACTGTTAATGGGTCAGAACTGACATCATTTATGATGTACTTTTTGTTTTTTAAAAAGTGTCTTGAAAGATCCAAACCAGTTCCAATCAGCACAATGTAACAACAGTTTCTTGGCTTACATATTCTTTGTGAGAATGGCCATCACATTTCAGTCAAACTTTTTGATTTTGAACCCTGTTATTTTGGAGCACAATAAATAAAATTACAATTTGAGTATTACAACCTCCTAACCCCCTTCCAACCCGCCTGCTCCCTCTGCTCAGCCGGCTCCGGCCTGCTCCACGTCCCCCGACCCACCTGCCCCACCATTGGCGGGAGAGCCTTCAGCCACTCTGCCCCCAACCTCTGGAACTCCATTCCCCCAATCACTCTGCCTCATCCCCTCCTTAGCCTCCTTCAAGTCCTGCCTCAAAACCCTCCCCTTCGACCATGCCTTTGGTCACTTCCCCTCCCCTCCCTTCTCCCCCTTGATCCCAGCTCGGGTCTGAAATGCTGTACCCTGTCCAGCGCCTTGGGACGTCCTCCCGACATGAAAGGCGCTATACAAATGTAATCTTGTTGTACAATGTTCAACTCAGGAAAATAGACTGGAATATTTTGCACGGCAATGCATCGAGAGGTTTGGATGATATGAACTTTAGAGCTTTGAATCATCCTTGTTTCATGACCTCGAGTCAGGACTGGGTGCAATGAAGCAAACCATTTATTCTTTATAATTTTTCTACACACAGGTGAAGTTCAGGGCAATTTCACAGGCTTGGCTTTGCTGTTTATCATTACACAGGAACATGGGATGTGAGTGCAATGGACTAATGCTCCCAACATACACTGGGTATCTAGATTTTTCTACAGTTAAGTTTCTTTCTGCTTTGGGGCTTGAGAGAACAAAAAGTTTTCATCACATTTCTGTTTTTCTTTTAGGATTTCTTCAAATGTCCGAGTTCTGTCCTCTCTGTTTATTATGCTCCTCATATTCTGTGTCACCACGGTGCTGGTCAAGGTGGATACTTCTCAGTGGACATACCAGTTCTTTGGAGTGACTATGATGTGTGTAGTCATCATCAGCGGTGCTTCCAACGTGTTCCTGGGAAGTGCATTTGGAGTAGCTGGAAGGTTTCCCATGAAAAATGCTCAAGCCTTAATTTCGGGTAAGTTTCAACAACAACAAGATTTAATTTATAGAGCGCCTTTCACGTCTGGAAGACGTCCCAAGGCGCTGAAGTCTGTTAGGCGTTCTTTATTGTTCAAGTGCATTGAAATAGTATTGTTGACCCATTTGACTTGAAGTTGACTCAACTCGACAAAGACTATGCAGCACCTTCAACTCTTTCACTTGAGGCAGATCAGTTGGAATAACGGGTTGCGTAGTAACTATTGAGAAATGTCTTGGCATCAGATTGGGAAATCCAATTAGTAACATGTAAATTTCAGGATTATTTTTAAACTGTCACATATTGTCATTACTGGCATAGTTCTGTTTAGAAAGTATTCATTATTTCTTAACTCACGAGTCTTGCTCAAAAACTATCCATTTATTCTTTTATAGAACCATAGAAATTTATAATGCAGATATTCATTGGCCCATCATTATTGTGCCGCTCTTTGAAAGAGGAAGATATTCAGTCCCAATTTTACCTGCATTTTCTCCACGTCCCTCCAAGTTATTTTTTTTTAAAATCTATTGAAAGCTAATATAGATCCTGCTTTAACCACTGCATCCAGTAGGGCATTTAATAATAATAATAATAGTCCTTGCATTTGATATAGCGCTTTTCACGTCGTGAGGACGTCCAAAAGCGCTTCACAGAACACACTGTAAAGTGAATTGACTGTATATTTGTGGGCGAACGCAGCAGCCAATTGCGCACAGCAATGTCCCACAAACACAAACATTTCAACTTTTTGTATAGAAACATTCCTCCTAATTGCTTGGCCTTTGTTCCTTTGTTAATTATCTTAAATTAATGTCTTCTAGTTATTGACTCAGTGACCAGTGGAAATAATTTCTCCACATCAACACTTTCAAAACCCTTCATAATTAGGAAGACCTCTATCCGGTCTCCTTAACCTCTGTTCCTTTTAAAAATGTGTCCCTTATTGTTGTATTAAGTGCATTCCCTCAATGCTGTTCTGACAAATATTTTCTTTAGAGCCCCTTTTTATACCAGTGTTTGAAATATTGACAGTATTGATGTGTTACTGTGTAACATGTTTTGTTCCAAGACCATATATTGAGTTTTTAGACACAAGAAGCAGCTCACAATTGTTTGCTTTTGTTGTTTGTTTAAAAAGAGATTTTTCCGCCCCCTATTTTCAGGTTGGAATGTACATCCATACTTTTTGTGATGCTGTTTATAAACTAGTCATTTGAATTGCACAATAAATCATTGTCCATTGTTCTTCCCAATTGCAAAGATGTGCGGTCAGTGTGTGGTGTCTTTCCATAGCGATATGTTTGGATTCAGAAACTGAATGGAGTTGATCATCAAAAACCTGTACCACACTGGTCTTGGGAGTGGGGCATTGATGTCCCAAGATGCTGCTTATTCATGTGTTTTTGTTACATTTTTCAAAGTGTTGTACTTACCCCACCAGTGAAAAATAATGACATAAAACCATGACTGCAGGTGGCACCAGAACATGCTAGCTGGCTGATTGGAATGGAGGGAGAAAATGCTGCCGTACACTTCAATGTTGTCACTTGTACATACTTGACTGCCTCTGGTTGCAAGATGAAAGAGAATCTTGTTCACTGATTGAGAAGTAATAGCATATGTAGTGACCTTGAGTGCTCCTTTTCGGATGACTGACACTTCACAATGACACTATTTATATTCAAGATCCAATCTGTGACATACCAGAGGTGAAATAAACTGGGTAGAACAACAATATTGAGCAAACAATTCATAGCAAGGGGACTTTAGTACAGAAAGCTCCTGAAGAAGCATTTTCCCCTTTGTATTAAACATGCGATCAGTCATGGATTGTCACAATTACCATTTCACCTTGATCCTTCATCACAGACACAATTAGCAAATAAAACGTTGGTGCGTTTATCTCATTTAACCATAATTCAATGCCAGTTCTTGAAACGCCCTTTATTAGCCACCAGAAGAATTCACACGATCAAGCAATCCTTTATGTCAGTCGAGGTGATCATGGTGCCAGAATACAAAAAGGTGGGAAAATTAATTATTTATATTAACATTTCCCATATAAATTCATTGCTTTTGGAATCCCTTTACAAAGTATTACATAGAATATTACAGCACGGAAACAGGCCATTTGGTCCAACTACGCAGATGTTTTATGCTGGACTTGATCCTCCACTTCATCCATACCCCTTTCTTCCTCACGTATGAAAGCAGTTTACTCTTAAATATGTTGATGCTTTCTGCTTCAACCAAAACTTCTGGCAGCGAGTTCCACATTCTCGCCAACCTCTGCATAGAGAAGTTCCTTCTAAATTTCCTTTTAGATGGGCTACTGTGTATCATGTATTTATGCAGCTTTGTTATGGATAGTCATACCCTTTGTATGAGAATAGATCCAGAGAAAAAATATCTGGTGGATTATGTTTTGCTAATGTATAGATAGGATTGGATTGTATTGTATGGATTTTATATCTTGATTGAAAGCAGAACTGTGAATTTTGTATTAATTGTTGAGGAATGTATCTAAAGTATACAACTGCTTTTCTAATTGTTGCTTGTACTTTGTTTTAATTTTTTCATTTACAAACAAACCAGGTTAATTGCTTCCTGCAGCATCTGGTGGCCACTTAAATGATTTTTAAAAATTGATCTAAACTATTCTCTGAAAAATACAAGATAATTGCAACTATTCAATAGTTAGTGGACTGTGGAGTAGAGCTCGGCGGATAGGGATACATTTTAAAAATTGAACATAGGTTTCTGAATCTTTCAATTCATGTTGGTCTGAAGGGCTGATCTTCATGATTTTTTGTGTGTGTTTGCTCATAGGACAAGCTATGGGAGGAATGATTAGTGCTTTGGCATCAGTGATAGACCTTGCAGCTGCTGAGAACGTTTCTGACAGTGCGCTGGCCTACTTCCTCACTGCTGATTTTTTCCTTGTGATTTGTATCATCATGTATTTGTTGCTGTCCAAAATTCCATACTCCAGGTAAGCAAGTGTTTCCTTTACGTGTGCAATCAGCCAACTGGAATTTAGCATGGCCATTTTGGTTTCTATTTGGTCAGACAGTATCTGACGCATGCAGAAACTCATTACCAAGCTTAAGAGTATCCCAACCAAACTTCACAAGTCGGTTTCTAGGTTGGCTGCAATGGTGTAATAACCGTCTCCCCAGAAAAATGAGTTGCAGTTTGTCGAGAGCCACAGCTTGAGAACCCAGCATACGCTAGTAGAGCGCTGGTAAGATTCATACTGGCTTGCTTGACTTAGGCATTGGAATGCCACGAATGCACAGAGGATCAACTCATTTCAGGTGTGCTACCTGACCGTCAGTTTGTGTTGGATCAGCTGAGAAACTAATTTCTCTTCTGCTTTAAGTTATGCATACCTCACAAAGAGAAAACTCTAGTTGAGGAAACATTTACATTTTGTCTGCATTACAATTCACTGCCATTTAAATCCATATAGACATTTATATATAAATTTGTGTCTTATTCCAATTTCTTCCGTAAACTTTGTTACTTTAAACAATCTTAAATTAATTTCATTCTTGTAAACTTTAGATACTACCTCAACAACCTTGAGGGAAGGATCGTATCTGCTGCTGGTGAACTCGGAGGATCATTCAATGATGATACAGGATATTCCACCATAAATGGGTTAGTCGTGAGCACCAGTGAAACCAGCAGCCAGGTGCCTCCATTGAAGCCCATCCTCAAAAAGACTGCAGTCCTGGGTTTCTGTGTGTTTTATACCTTTTTTATTTCCATCATTGTGTTCCCTTCGATCTCTTCCAACATTGAATCTGTTTCGAAGAATTCAGGTAGTGCGTGGACCAATAAGTACTTTATACCTCTGACCAGCTTTCTTCTGTACAATTTTGCAGACTGGAGTGGTCGACAAATAACTGTTTGGATCCAGATCCCTGGACCGAAGAGTAAATTGCTTCCTTTTTTAGTGATGCTGCGAACTCTCTTTTTACCCTTATTCATATTTTGTAATTATCAGCCAAGGCACCATATACGCAAGGTTATATTTGATCATGACTTTTATCCTGCTATTTTTGTATCTCTTCTGGGCTTCAGCAATGGATACCTAGGAACATTACCAATGATTTATGGACCAAAGGTTGTGCCAAAAGAATTATCTGAACCCACTGCAGTTATGATGTCTTTCTTTCTTACTCTTGGGCTAGCTGCTGGATCTGCCTTCTCTGCCATTATTGTTCACTTGATCTAGCAGAAGTGTCAAACACTGCATATTCTTAAATATTCAGCTTGAGTGTATCTCAAATTTGACAATGGGTTAGAGTGGTTTTGAGGATAATAATACACAAAGCTTGGAGATAGTTTCACTATGGTGCTTAACCCTGAACCTGATATGGAGACAAGAATCTGAGTTGGATGCTTACCAGTACATCTAGTTAAATCATACTTTTATTTTGGAAGGGGAAAAGAAGGATCTGACCCCTGCTCAGTGACTTTCAACATGGTGAGTGTTACAAATTCAATAAGTTGCCTGCTGTAGGAAAGACTGCACATTGCCAGCTCTTGCCACCAAGCATTGCAGCACCAAAGTGCTGTTACACCTTGCCCTCTAGAAGGACAAGTTCACAAACTTTTTTTAAAAAACATTATGAGCCATATTAGCTCCATTTATTTCCCCATTTTTAATTCCCGAACCCCGAGATGTGGTAACTGATGATTATTGGAAGCATAGTTTGTTGTTTGTTGCTATTAATCCTGAAACTACACAGGGTTTTTTTTTCTCATAGAACATGTAGTTGAATTAGTTGCGCTGGTTTTCCCAGCCTGCCAGGCCCAGTGAGCAGAATTACTGTTACGTGAATCAAGTCTCTTCTGGAAAAAGAAGTGTTGAAGCTGATATCTGGAATAAAATGCAAGTAACCAAAGAGGAGTGTCACTTATTCTCATCTGCAGAATATGCTTAAGGACCCATGTTACAATGTTCAAGGGTTTTTAGTTCTGCATTGAATGGAAGTGTTGCTGCTTTCTCCTTTTCATCCCAAAAAGTTATAAAAATGAATTAAAATCATTCAGTGATGAGAATACAATATTATAACTGAAAATCTAATTATTTAAGTGTTGTTCCTAAGAAATGTTACTTTTTGTCCAATTTAGAAGGTGGGGATTTTCTGAATTAATTTTATTCTGCTCATAGATGATTTTTGGTCTGGTGTGTTGCATTTTGGCTTTGAAATATGATGGATATATCTTCAAACCAAGGTTCATGCTTCATGTTTTTCATAAGACCAAGAATCCTGATTTTTAAAAAAAAAAACAAAGTGCACATTGTGTCAGAATCTCACGCTGGTTGTAAAAGTGAAATAAATCTGATGATGAAAGCTTCTTCAGAATTTGTCATTTGTAATGCACTTGCTGACTTGCAGGTTTATTTCATTTATGTTATGTAATTCATAGGTTTATTTTATTTTGATATCTTGAATTAAATGGATCTTTTTGCCAAATATGCTCAAGTTGTTGAGGATTCAAACATATACTTGTGCAGTGTAATCTATGCATATATATAATTTGACAATTGCTAATCATTATTTAGAATAAAGTGCTATTGTGCACAACATTCATTTTTATCCTGCAAAAAAATCAATGAATTTTAGGGGGGACTCACTTGCAGTGGAAACTCACCAATCAGGTCAGCAAACTGATACAGGAAATTTTAACCATATTCACATGCTGATTGTAATGTGACCTCAACTGATTTCAACAATATAAAGATTGCAAAAAAAATTGACTGTAGAAACATCTTTCCACATTAGCGTTGTGTTACTTAAAGTGAGTTTCAACTGTCCAGTAGAAATTTAAGCATTAGAAAATTATTGGTTTGCCTATCTTATCTCACAAACCCACTTTGTGAGATAGATAGTTAAAACCAATAATTTTAATTTTCCCTATATGGGAATCTGTTTTGAAGGTGTCGTGGAACTCAAATAGGGATAATAATTCTAGAGGTGAAACATCGCTTCAGTAGTACAACAGAGTGACTGGAAACAAAATGACTGTACGTGTATATATGGACTACACTCTGAGGTTGACGTGGTTAAGAAAGGCCGATTCAAAAGAGGCCTCGGGAAAGAGTAGTGACGTTATTGCTTTTGAAGCTATCAATGAACATCGTATTAAAATTGGCATGGAGCTATTCTTTTTAATACTCTTAACTTGATCATGCCTTTCAGATCAATGCAAGAGAACAGCTGAAGCGGAATGCACTCATCCCTTCTAACAAAATTAAATGAGCTTTGTTAACAGAGGGTTACTGTGGGGTGAGCACACTTTTCTAAATTTGACTTGACCAGTCCTTTTCAGTAGTTATTAAGTGCACTGAAAATGCTGTAAATGTGATGCATGTGTTTGCATATCAGTCTTATAAAAGATTCTGCGTGTGTATTGACTGTGTCCGAAAAGGAACCAATCCAATCACACTTTGTTTTCCAATGACGTGAATTATGATGGAGAAAGAAAGGGAGAAAAATAACTATTTGGATCAATTCTGAATGCATCACATAGTGCTGGGTTCTGCGCTGTGCTGTTGTTGAGGAGAAACAGAGAATGGAAACCAGGCATTCCCTCCCACTAGTAAAGAAAAATGTGGCAAGGCACTTCAGCCCCTTTTGCAGGGGCTGTAGAACAGCATTGGCAGAAAGTTGCTCCAAGTTGCATTTTGTGGGGAAAAGTACCAAAGAAGAGGGACAAGAATATATACAGTATTGTCATTTTACAGACTGAGTTTGTTAACATACTGAGTAGCGGGTCATATGTTTCCTTGGGAGGGGAAGGTAGAGAAGAAAAAATGGATAGGATTAAAAAATACTTTCCTAATATTGCATACATTTTGCATTGGGTTGGGAGAGATTCACTTCCTGATCTTTGAAGTATGGCTCTGCAGATGTAAGAACATAAGAATTAGGAGCAGGAGTAGGCCATTCGATAAGATCATGGCTGATCTTCTGACCTAACTCTAATTACCTGCCCTATCCCCATATCCCCTAATCCCTCTATTTTAAAAAAAATCTATCAGTCTCAGCCTTGAATGTGTTCAAGGACTGAGCATCTAAGGCTTCTGGGGTAGTGAATTCCGTAAATTCACTGCCCTCTGAGTGAAGAAATGTTTCCTCAACTCTGTTCTAAAAGGCTGATCCTTAATTTTAAGACTGTGACTCCTGGTTATAGATTCTCCGACCAAGGGAAACGGTCCCTCAGTGTCCACTTTATCCAGCCTTTTAACAATCTTATATGTTTCAATAAGATCTCCCCTAATTATTCTGTACTCCAGAGAATACAGCCCTAGTTTATTTAGCCTATCCTCATAGGTCAGTCCCCTCATCCCAGGAATTAACCGAGTGAATCTATGCTGCACCACCTCTCAGGCAAGTATGTCCTTTTTTAAATAAGGAGACCAAAACTGCACACAATACTCTAGGTGCAGTCTCACCAAGGCCCTATACAGTTGCAACAAGACTTCCCTACTCTTGTACTCTAAACTTTTTGCAATGAATGCTAACATGCCGTTTGCCTTCTTAGTTGCTTGCTGCACCTGTAAACTAACTTTTTGAGACTGGTGTACAAGGACACCCAAATCCCTCTGAACACTAACACTATCTAATCTCTCCCCACTCAAGAAAATAATCTGTTTTTCTATTTTTGCTACCAAGGTGAATAACTTCACACTTCCCTACATTAAATTCCATCTGCCACCTACTCACCCACTCTCCTAGCCTATCTATATCCCTTTGCAATCTTTTTGCATCATCCTCAGAGCTTACTCTCCCACCTAGTTTAGTGTCATCTGTGAATTTAGATATGTTACGTTCAATGTCCTCGACTAGATCATTGATGTAAAAAGCACTGATCCTTGTGGCACTCCACTCGTCACATCCTGCCAATTCGAGAATGACCCATTTATCCCTACTCTCTGTTTTCTACCTGTTAGCCACTCTTCAATCCATGCTAATATGTTCCCATTAATCCCGTGGGCCTTAACCTTGTGCAATAGCCTTTTGTGTGGAACTTTGTCAAATGCCTTCTTAAAATCTAGATACACTACATCTATTGGTTCCCCCCCCTATCTAACCTGCTAGATATATCTTCAAAAAACTCTAAAAGATTAGTTAAGCATGACTTTTGTAAAGCCATGTTGACTCCGCCTAATCTTGCTATGGTCTTCCAGGAATCCCATAACGACATCCTTAATTAAGGACTCAAGAATTTATGTTTAGCGGGAGGAACACAGTCCTTGGCTGAGAAACGAACAACACAACAACAAGATTACATTTGTATAGTGCCTTTGACATCGGGAGATCATCCCAAGGTGCTGGACAATCAGTGTTTCAGACTCGTGCTGGAGGTTGGGCTAGTGGAGGGCAGTGGGGACAAGGAGGGTGAACAAAGGCGCGGTTGAAGAGGAGGGTCTTGAGATGGGTCTTGAAGGAGGCAAGGGAGGGGGCGAGGTGGAGGGACAGCGGGATTAAGTTCCAGAGGGTGGGGTCAGGCTGAAGGCCTGCCTGCCAATGGTGGGATGTGCGAGGCGGGGGATGTGAAGCAGGCTGGAGCCCATTGAGTGGAGCGAGTAGGCAAGTTGGTAGGGTGTTAGGAGGTTGCAGAGGCAGGGGGGAGCAAGGCCATGGAGGGCTTTGAAGGTGAGGACCAGGATCTTGAACTTTGTGATGGGAAATCAGTAGAGTCAGGTGAGGATAGGGTCATGGAGCTTGGTGCAGGAGTAGACATAGACTGCAGAGTTTTGGATGATCTGCAGCCTATGGAGGGAGGAGCTGGGGAGGCCGATAAGCAGGGAGTTTGCATAGTCAAGCCTGGATGCTACTAATGCATGTATGAGGGTCTCAGCGGCCTGTGGTGTGAGACAGTGGCGGAGCCAGGTGATGTTGCAGAGGAGGTGGGAGAAGTCAAAGTAGGTCATGCCACGGATGTGGGATAGAAAGGATAATTGAGGGTCAAACAAGATGCCAAGCTTCCGGACGAGCTCAGCGAGGTGAAGGTTCAGACAGTTTCATTAAGGAACTATTGCTATGAAGTTAGGCCATATTGACTTAACAGAAGATTGATTCTTGCTGGTTGCCAATAAGAAATGACAGAAGTGTTTCAGTCTGTCAGAGAATAATGACACAAGTACCATTGTACTATTTGGAAATCACTTCAGAAAGATGGGAAATAAAAAAAACTATTGCAAAGAGAGATGGATGTAATGATTACCGGAGAATGGTAAGAAACTGACCATTATGCAGCTGTTAACAATCAACTTTGCATCTGATTGCTCTGTGAAATTGGCTAAACCAAAACTTAAAGTTCCAAGCTTGTCAAAAGTGCAAAATAGTTTTAATCTAGAAATATTAGCCACAAGCTGTCTTTTTGTAGCACAATGCACTGGCGATCCTCCTCCATCCTGGCTTTAAACCCAATTTTCTTCTTACAAAAACTATTATTTTATAGAAATAATAGTTATTCCAAGGATTGTAATCATTTATACTTGGAAATCTCTGCTTTACATTTACATTGGTTTACATTTATTTTTTGTTGCTTTGTTCACAAACATCGTACTCTGACTCAGCGGCAAATTGAAAAACGTTCTCAATGAAGGAACAAATAGGGCAGAAATGAGTGCTTTTGCTCATTTTAGAATAGGTGCCACTTTATGGCTTAGGCTGGCCATTGTAAACAAAAGCTGTATCAAAACCACTTGTATTAAAGCTCATGAAAGCATAAGTAATGTACCCAACTGGTGCGAGAATCTCAGCAGTCATTACTTCAGAGAATGTTTGATCTTTCTTTGTGGGATCACGTCCGTTTATCTGGCCTTCGAGAATATTTGCATTATCTAGAAAAAGAGAGAGATCTGGTCTTGTACATCTCTTGTTTTCCTGTTACCCAGAAACAAACAGGGTTGGTACCTCACAAGTCTGGACCTTTGGAAAAAGACTGGTCAAACAGCAGGTACAATTTTTTTCAAATATATATTTGAATGAATGTACAGAGAGATCTCTATCTCATGACTTGAATTACTGCTGTTAATACATATTAATATGTTGAACTTTAAAGGAAGTGTGATAAATGGCGTATGTAGTAGTCTTCACTGTAAGAGTGAGATTAGGCTCGTGTGATCATGATTTTAACATTATACATTTAGATTTAATATGTTAGCATAAATTTGTTACTATTGTAATGAGACGTGTTTCGATTAGTTTCACACTGATATATAGAACAAGATTTCTTCATGAAATACCCAGTCATTCAGAGAGCCACAGATCAGATGAATATATTTGATTTGTAGGTCCTATGTGGGGGAAATTTTAACCTCCAACAAATATTAAAACTATTCT